TGCAAAAGAACCATCTAAACCACTGGTGTTTGAAGTCACCCTGATTTCTTTCTATTCACAGTTAAAAAACATCTAATCTGAAAGTTTAAGTCCATTATACAGTACACCTGGCCTTATCACTGCACATTGATTTATGAGAGTAGTCAGCACAAACTCAATTAACAGTAGATTTCTTACAAATAGAAACTGCTGTTGGAAACAATGTATTTCCTACCTCTACTTAGTAACTAGTCTCTGATCTGTTATATAAAATTAAAATTTTGCTTTCAAAAAAATATTTGTTCCTACATGGCTGTTAGAATTATGGTTGGTGCTGTTAATTGTCAGAGAAATACAGGTGGGAAACCACTTGACAACACACTTCACACACGCAAGGACAGACCTTTGGCAAAACTTAACCAAAGGAGAAGAGAAAAAGAAAACCACCGTTACATTCAAAATCTGAAATATATTCATCACATGATATTATCTATTTTAGTATGGAGAGTGGAATATTTAATTTAAATGAACAAGACTTAAGAAGTTTATCTGGCATTTAATTTATACAAAACAATTGAAAGTTTACTTCCATAGTCTAGGGTCCTTCAGCGTGAAGAATATATTTTTTTCCAAGTAAGAAAATACACTTTTTGAACTAGCTTTTGGGTATTTTCCCTGCCTACCCCACAACTGCCCACTACACTGGCCAGGTGAGCTCTAGAGAGTTGCTGTAATCAATACTTTGCATTCACACCGAATCAGGGAGAACTTGAAATAGCCTTCAGTTTATGTCCTTGTTCACTGCCATGGAAGGTGAATGTCTAAATTGTGTTTTTAAAATTACTCAATCAAAGGATAATTGTAGGTTTCACTATAAAGCCTTTTCCAAGACATTATTTGCATCAAACACACCAATACTCTGGGGAAATAAGACTGCTCATCTACATTTCCTAGCTGGAGCTACATTTACACATCTGGGGCTCAGTCTTGCCAGCCTTAACACGTGCATAATGATATTCACAGCAGTCATCCTATCAGTAGCAGTAGGTATGCCCAAATGAGTAAATTCATATAGATGATGAAGTGTTTGCACAATCAAAGGGCTTTTAAAACAAATGATATCGACTTTAAATGTTAAAAACGCAAGGGAAAGTTCAAGCATGACAAGACAGACGACAATACCAGAGAACAGTCTGCAGCACGATCATCAGCTTGGTTTACGACTGCTGTCAAACACATCTCTCACCAGACAGTGCAGCTCCTGGATTTCCAGAGGAAACTGAGGCCAAAGTTTGGGCTGGATTCCATGAGCTTTGTTTGGACAAGAGGCCCTTTCAGAAACAGCTTTCACAGCACTACTTGTTCTCCCCCATCATTATGCAACCTCAAATCCTCCACGCTCCCACCAGAGACCTCAGATTGAAATTCCAGGCCCTTATTCACAAAGAAATGTAAATACACACTTAACTTCAAGCACATGAATAGTCTTACTGACTTTCAAGTGGCTCAAGGTAGGGTCTATTCACAACTTCGAACTTCAGTATAGGCTTAGGACCTTTGCTGAACCAGAAGTTCTGCAGAAGGATCATACCGGAATTTCTATATGTTAAAGAAGAAGCTGCAGAGAAGAGCACTTTTATCTATTCTTTTCCCCTCTCTTTTGTGATCTATGCGAAAGTCTTGAAGTAGACACATAGACAAAAAAGTCTGTTTTCCTGGGAGATCTTTTTCTTCAAAACCAAGCTCTGGAAATCGCAGCCTAGCCTGCAGATAGTAACTGAATAAAGTATAGCAAAGACAAGAAACTAAGCAGTTGTGATGTGCTTCTACAGAAATTCCTGTTCTCACATTCAGCTCTTTGCAGGTCCATGGCTTTAAAAGACTGCTTAGAAACCTTTGCAGTGGTGTCTAGTAGCACCTATTAAATAACACTGCCTCATCAACACATAGGGAAAAAGGACACACCTGTTAAAGATTCAACAGTTGCATCTTTAGCTGCTGGAATAAGAAATCCCTGCATGGAGGAAACCTTCTTCCAGGCTAAATAAAAACAATTCCAGGCTTCCTACCCTCTTCTGCTTTTGTACATAATGGAATAGCAGGAGACAGAATAAACCCCCAAATAGCTTGCAGAGAAGTTAAAGGATTCCAAATATCCACATTTTAAATACTGAACGCCTGTATCCCAGGTGTCAGAGGAGCATACAGATTTTGTAACGCTGCAGAACGCATGCCAGACTCTGCTCTGCCGGAAGGCAAACTCCCACCTTCACTCCCCGTCCTAGCACGGTAGCACAAGCTCTGGGATTCTTTGCTAAGGCCCTGCGCCTGTGGGAATTTATCCCAAAAGGCATAACCGGTACAGAGAAGCACCAAGATCAGCACAAGACATGATTTCAGTCGGTCAAAGAAGCTTTGCTCTCCATTCCTAAGCAGGTTTGGTCTTTTTTTTTTTTTAGAAAACAAAATGTGAAAAAATGAACAGAAAACAAAGCCAGACTACGCAGGGTATCTTGGCGAGAAATGGCTAAGTGTCATAGTTCTGATGTTTCAGACACAAGGGAAAAATATTTTCACAACTAGTTTTCTGTTTAGTACCCTGTAGATACATAATATTTGACATTTATAGCAGTTTCTATACTTTATGACCTAGAATATACTTTAGATCACTAATGAAAAATAAACCCATTCAGAGGACTGGAAAATAATGTGCATAACAATTTACTTTCAAATGCAAGGTTATGAAGGGATTTTTTTTTTACCTTTCAAAAATATCTGTAAGAAAATATTATTTTACATAACTATATTACACAGTGAAATAAACTTTGTTATGTACAAAGTTTCAGTATGAAAGAAACCACAGCCAGACGTTTAACCATCGTCTAGATAATCTCAGTTGTCTCACAGCAGTCAGTACAACAGAGAGATTCTCCTTCACTCTTTTTCAGACTATTTCAGTGATCATTTCAGCTTTTAGTGGTTATTAGTAGTTGAGTAAAACCTGTGTGCAGACATCCTCATATTAACCCTATTACAGTTAGATATGAGTAGTTATGCTCTCAAAGCATGGTTGCACATCTGCTTGGCAACCACAGTAACTTGACTGTAACTCAATTGCATATTGGAAGGAAAAAAAACCCAAACTTAGTGCAGACACCTGACCTATAGCATTCTAAGGGAGCTTGGTATTAAACTCTCCTTTGAATTTGGGTATTTCACAGCCCAAAATGAGAGCATGGGAGTCATTAAGGAAACAGTATATGGTGTATCTGCATAGCCCTAAAAGTTATTTTTCCTCCCGAAGTGAGGATGAAGTAGTCTTTCACAGAGTTTTCCTAGCTTGTGTATTTTAGGCAGAAAACACAACATCATAATCCATTTGGATCACATTGGCAAATTTGCTTCATAGAGTCTTAACAAATCAAAAGCTGGTATCTACCTATAATTAAATGACAAACTTTGCTCCCATCTCGGGCGGAAAGGGCACACAGTACTTTGCTATTTGTGGTGCAACTGTAAACAACTGTAGGGAAGACAGTATTAACTGCACTTCGAGTTTACATCACACTGTTAGTTTCCATTATTTAAATGAACTCAAGCTTATCTTCAAGTTCACCTCATCACTATTGTGCTTTAAGCTGAAGGAATTTTGCATTAGAAACTGCTTCCAAATCAATGTTTGCTCACATCCTTCAGATCCCAGGACAAAGTGCTGCCCGTGTGGGAGACCTGCTCAACAGCTGAAAACAAGCTCAGGGAATATTCAAGGCAGGCAGCACTGCACTCCCCCTCTCCTCCTGCTTAATGAGGGACTCGCACAACTTTGGAAGCATGTCCTCTCTTTTTCTCTAATGCTATAGCTCAGCTGCATACCATAAAAATTAGCAGCAAAGGAAACACGAAATCCCTAGTGAAGAGGAAATGACTTAGTGGTAAGGAAGGAAAAAAGGAACACCCAAAACCCCCTGCCTGTGATGCCTTCCAGCCTGCGCGCCTTCCCATCCCAGCTGTGTTTACTGTGGTGCAGAACCTGTGACACGCTCATGGCCAGGACCACCCAGCCAAGAGGCCACCCTCTCAAGGGACAGCAAGACATACTCTTGCACATGAGCAACCTGCTTCTACTGCCTTGATGTGTACAACGGATGTAACGGGGAGCTCTGCCATTTGCTTTAGGGGAAGCCAGGCAGCGTGTAACGAGTGCTGGCATAGCTCGGTATCTGCCTGTAAGAGTCCCAGCACACACCAATGTGCTGACTCCTTACTCAGGGTTGTAAGCTTCCCCCTCCCCTGGGATCAGTTAGCAATAAATACATCTTCTGTCCTCATAGCCACACAAGGAGGAGCTCCCCCAGCCCATCTGCAAGTTCCTATCAATTAAGAAGGCACCAGGCACATCAAACCCATTTCATTAAACTTAGCGGTGATTTCTCCCTTACACATTCCCGGGAGCTGGCTACCAATCCATGAAGCCTTGCGCCAGGCAAGCAAGCAGCTTGTTGCAATACCAACAGGAGCCACAACTGAAGAGAAACAGGAAGAGAAGGGAATACGATATCCCCACACTTCTCAGCTACCAAACTAATCATGCGCTCACAGCTACATGGCCATGTCCTGAAAGTTGTTGGCTCCTTCTTAATTGTATTAAATACTCTTAACTTCTGCTGATAAGTAGATGTCAAAGGCATTTAGTATCTTGTAGGGTCAGGCCTACTGGCAGATGGTCGAGGGAAAGGCTATGCATGAAGGGGACAGAGAGGGAGGGGAAGAGGTGGGAGTAGAGAGGGGTGGAATTGCCCTGAGTTTTATCCTCTACAAATAAGTCAGTGGTTTTATCATCAAGCACTGAAGGAGTTAAGCACTAAAGCGCAGACACTTAATCAGCTTTCCCCCTTCCTTTCACATGTGATTGGAACGAAGCTGCACCGAAGCAGCCCAAAGGGCTTATAACAGCTCAATTTCGCAGCCTTCAGTTTTAATCCCCATCACCCAGGCTAAGCAGCACGGTGGTGCTGAGGTGGCTACTCCACAGCAGTCCGAGCACCTGGATGATGATGATGATGGTGGTCTTCCTCCTCCTCTTCCTCCTCCTCTGCAGCCTGTAGGTGGCTGGAGAGCTCCTGGATCACGGCAGCCCTACCAATCTGGTCATTTCTCCTCTTCTCCATAATCAGATCCTCCAGGCTCTGAAACTCCAGCGTGTGGCTGCGCTTGTCACCCAGACGGATCTGCAATCGGTAGGGTTGCTTGCCTATGCGCAGCTCCCCGCCGATTTTAAACTCCCGCTTACCGTACCGGCACCAGGCAGCAAAACACTCAGAGTTTCTCCAGCTCAAGTCCCGGTCCTTGCAACCCACCTGCTCCAGGGCGTTGCGCACCACCACGGCTGGGCTGAGGGGTTTGTAGCGGTACAGCTGGTTGGCAATGCGGCCCCGTCTGCCCTGGCTGGCATCTGTAAGGAAGCTGTTCACCACCTCCAGCCTGTGCAGGTGCACAACTTGAAAATCACCGACATAGACCACCCAGTGTGGATACTGGGCCTGGCACACAAACTCCACTAGGTCACCCGGTTTGCACCTATTCAGCAGGTTCTCCGGGGTGTAGGTGCTCAGGTGCCCCCCACCGCCTTCATCACCCTCCGGCAGCGTGTCCTCCTCAGAAAAGCTCTTCTGGTAAATACACTCATCCCGGTAATAGACTGAGCACTCCACCTCGTGCTGCTGGGGATCGTAGGGCTGCAGGGCAGGGTGCTCACCTCCCAGGTCATGCACTGAGTCTGGCGGCTGCTCCAGCTCATCATCATCATTTGAAAAGATGTAGGAGACCCCGATCCTGTGTCCTTCATCTCTGTCCATACCTGTCGGGTCGGCCGTGGGAACTTCCTTGTAGTTCAGATGGGTCAGCTTCTCCACCTGGTTCCCCATGCCTGCTGCAACGACAGACACACAGCGGGGCCGTGAAAGCAGGCAGGGGGTGAGCGGCTTCCAGAGAAGCAGCGGGGTGGCACGGCACGGCTCCCCGCTCCACGCGCATCCCACCTCTCCCCGCTGCAATACAGCCCCC